TTGTAAACACTAAGCTGAGCATACTTTGTCAGGTCATAACCACCACTGCTTTAATTATCAGTCCTTTGACCTTAAATAAATAAATAAATAAATATAAAAAGTTGATACATCCTTCACTTTTTCATACTTGCTCTATTTTATTCTGCAATATGTAATTCTTTAAAACACAGAAGGAATGTAAGTGTATTAATAGAAGATCTTTTGAAAACATTGTTTTTTTACTCAATTGGTTGTAAACAACACTTCTGATGTGAAATACTTCAGTAACAAATTAACACAACTCTCATGGAATATGAGTCATTTAAGAGTAAGACCCATGCCTTTATAGCCACAAAATTAGATGGACACTAGGTGCTTAATGTTTTCTGAAAAGAAAATAAATGGATGGATAAATTCCAGATTCTACAGAATTAACATTTTTATCAAAGTTTGCTTTAGAAATTTCATTTGTGTGACCAACCTTACAAAAAAAAACACTTTCTCGAAATACTTAAAAAAAACACATAAATCCCACTTAAATATGCTTTTCTTCAGTTTTGCAATAGAAAATGAAGAATAATGTTAAAAAGCTAATCACATGTAATAACTAGAGAAGAAATATAAATATACCTATCTGTACATATGTAATATTATGTAAATATAATATCAACAAGGTGTTACCTTGAGGATAACATGTCAACTTTACCAAATTCATAATACACAGAATTATGTGGCAAATGTGGCACAGGAAATATCTGGCAAAGAAAAATTATTATAAAATGAGAGTTTTAAGTAAAACTAGATTGTTCAGCAGTAACAAATTAGCCAAATGAATAATTATCTTTGTTTGCCAGAAAGTGTATACAAGTAAACTCAACCACCCTTTAATTTAGTATTTCTTACATTTTTTACAAAATAAAAGCTCACATTATTGAGCACTTACTAAGTACCATTAATAATTCTAAACACACCACATGTACTAACTCATTCAATCCTTACTACTCTTAGAGGTAGGAACTATTATTCCCATTGTAAAGATGAGGAAAACAAATAAACACTGTGTGAAAAGGTCAGATAGCTGTAGAGTCATAAAGCTAGAAGTGTTAACTTCAGCATTCTATCCCCAGAGCCTGTCATTTTAACTTCTATGCTATAAACATAGAGACCACTGGCTCTATTTAATACCCTTATGTAACTGAAGAGCACTTTAATTATATTGACTAAGTATTGTGGTATCTCATAAATTATATTCTTTTGTTTTTTTAAGGAGCCAATATCCTATTGCTTGGTACTACTCCACCTGGAAATACAGTGTACTGTGGGGTACCCAACAGAGGACATACAATATATAGGTCTAAAGAGTGCGATCTGGAGTATTTAAACAATCTAAATTGTATGTCCAGACTTCAATAATGTTTAAAAAACAAAACATCAATTCTAATACAAGAATCAGAACCACCTGGAACAAAGCAAGTACGATAGAAAAAAAAAAAATGCTGCCTTTGCCAGCAATTAATTCTTTTCTTCTATATTCAATTTCTACTTACTCAACTATGTTCAAAATACAAAGCCTTAGGATTTTATTATGCACCAAGTGGCTACTAAAATGGGTTAACATGGAGTAAGGGCCACAATACTTTTCTTCTTTGGGTGTTTCCTTGAATACCTTGCAAGGAGGTAAACTCCAAAGTCCCTTCTCTGTCCTCTGCAGCCCAGTCTCCTACCAGAACCCCAAAAGCACTGGGGCGGTCATCCAAGAACCGCCACCCCCAACATGATTTAAGGCAACATATGTACCCTCTGGTCCCAGCAAGGAAGCAAGGGGTCCGGAAACCTGGCCCATCCGTGGCTTCCTAAGCCATTTAACTTCCCTTTGCCAGCAAAGTTGAGCTTAGCTGTTTGAGACCACGGAATCGGGCAGGTCACTCTCTTAATGGTCGAAGCACAAAGGTGAGCGGTGCTGCTTCCTCGGTGGGACTAACCATTGCCATCATCGCAGTCAGTTTTCCCCGCAGAGAAAACTTTTGAAAACTTAATTCCTGAACCCGGAGACTGGCATCGGAACGCAGAGAAAGTGAAAGTTCTAAAGAAAAGGGGGGAAAAGCATCCTGTGGCCTAAGAATTACACTCAGACGAGGTAACACTGTGTAGAAAGTTCTGAACTCTGAATGAATGAGCGGGGAGCAGAGGAAGCGGTACAAGTGGGGCCAGGGCGTGTGTTTCCTTTGTCCGGGGCGAGTGGGGCGACCTCTGGAAGTTCCCCAAAGGCGTGGGGGGAGCTCCCGGGACTCGACCACCTTCTCCTCACCTGAAGAACGAAGATTTCCTCAGGTGGCCTCTAGCCCGGGCCACCGGTGACCACTACGGGGAACCTGAACTGGTTGCACGCCTCGGTCCCAGCCCCGGGGGGGAAACTTGAAAAGACGGACAGCTCGGGTCTGTGTCCCGCCCACAACCGAGGAACGTGCGCCTTTGGTTCCGCTGCTTCCAGCCCCAGCTGCCCAAGGATCTTGCAGGCGCTGGAGTTTCCAAATGGTGTTCCTTTGTGGGGAGAGGGAGGAGGACGGGAGCTGGTAAATAAGACCCTAGCAATGCCAGGATTTAATTCACTTTTTACTTTTTTTTTATGTCAGATGCAACTTTAAATCTAACTTTCCATTTTATACTGGTCTCTACTCCTCATTTTACTACAAGCCTATGTTAAATGTCTGTGTTCTAGATAACATGGAAGTTAGCTCTACACCAGTTTCTTTAAAAGGCGGGAATTTCTGTCTCCTGAGCACTATATGTTTCTTAAGTTTTGGTTCTTTTTCCTTCATTTCCATACAAAATAAGTTCATTTCTTATGCTTTCTGTTATAATCCGTGATGTCTTGCCAAACTAAAGAGAGCTGGCACAGTAATGGCACTCGTTACAATGTTAAAATTGATCTGTTTTAACTAAATATACATTCCTTAAAAATACGGAGCTCATCTGAATACTCTTTAATGGCAGTGTAAGGCAAAACTTTAAATTAAGTACTTAGAGTAGGCGTGGAAACACCTGTTAGATGGATAAGCCTTATACAATGTGTGTCAAAAACGATGAAATTTAAGATATCTACTTTCTCAGTTACCAATGACCAATGCAATTTTACAAGAAATTGGTAAAACACCTTTTTCACTTTCTATTAAGATAGCATTTTTTTTTTTTGAGATAGCATCTTAATATCCCTCATTCTGGAAAGTATTTCAGAGACAAATTACTCAATTCTGAATTAGCTGGTTTGTACAGTTCAAGAAAAATATTTTCCTTTAGGGATTTCCTGAAAACTTCAGTTTTCACTTCAATAAAATAAATAATACCCACATCTCATGGGCTGTTTTGAGAATTAAATGATATAACATATGTAAAGTTAATAAAATGCCTGGAATTTTTTTGAGATAGCATCTTAATATCCCTCATATAACATATAACATATAACATATGTAAAGTTAATAAAATGCCTGGGACATCAAAGATAAAGAACTATAGAGTGAGTGCATATGTGAATTTTTTAAAAAGACTTGTTAGTTTTATTATTAAACTCAGCATCACACATACATATACACACACACAAACACTATTGCATTTGCTAAGATATATGTAATACAGCCAGTAATTAATAGCTTTATTGATGCTTTATCCTCTGTTCAAAACCAATCATATAGCATGCATCATATACAATGTACAGCGCTTTTCTGATTTTCTTCCATAAGAAGTAAATGTCCATTTTATAGGGGTTTTCCAGACATTGTTTTACTTATAATATTCTGCATTGGTGTTGTGCCATCCTATTTATATGGTGATATTGAATCACCAAGATATAAGCTCCAAGAGGGTAGGGATATTAACACAATTGTGCACTATTATGTCCCTAAAATCTACAATCAACAATTGCTGAATAAACGGATACAATAATGGTAATAATATAAAGGACAACAATGAAATTCACATCATACTATTAAAAATTTCCTGACGACAAATTATCTTAGCAAACATATTTCCCATTTTATCCAGGCATTTTTTTTTCCTTTTAAAGTGTACATTCTGAAACAATACATAAAACCTAGTACTTAAAAATCAAAACAAAAAACTACTGCATCCGATAATGAATAGGCCAATAAGTTTAAATGAATTTATTTCGAAATGCCATCATTAGAAAGAAATGTAAAACACCAAATGGTTTCACAATCGGCGCCAAAGAGAGTAGGCCTGGGAGTCCAGAGAGATGAAGCCTACGGCCTCAAACCTAAAGCCCTGGACTTTTAATTGAGGCTTATTGATCACGCTTCGGTCCAAGTGACAGTGGCTTGGGACCTGTGCCTTTGCAGGCCTCACTGGTCAGTGGAGAAAATAAACACCCAGAACCTATTCATCCAGACCCAACAGACTCTGCCTCTCCCTCTAGCAGAGGGCACCCACCAACCCAGGCCTATACCCTTCTCACTCACACCCTGAACCCTGGGACCCAGCCTCGCGCCCCCGGCGTCAGAAGGCGGCCTGAGACTCCCAGGTGGCTGACTCCCACCTGCAGTTCCGGCCTGGCCCCGCCCACCTCGGCCACCGCCTCCGGAAACAGCCGCGTGCGTTGCCAAGGAGACGCGAGTCAAGGCCGCTTCCGCTGAGTCTTGGTGGTAAAAATTCTGTCTATGAATTAACAAACCTGTCTATGACGTCACAATCCTGTATATGAAATAACAATACAGTCTATGAAAAAACAATCTTCAGAGATGTAACAATCCTGAATACGAAGTCACATCAGTTTATGTGGAAGCAAACCAATCTATGAAGTAACAATACAGTCTATGAAGTCACAATCCAGTCTATGAGGTAACAATTCTCTCTATGAAGTCACAATCCTTTCTATGATGTAACTATTCTGTCTATGAACTAACAGTCTTCTCTATGAAGTCGCAATTCTGTCTATGATTAACAATACAATCTATGAAGTAACAATCCTGTCTATGAAGTAACAATCCTCTCTATAATGCCACAATCCAGTCTATGACGTTACAATCCTCTCTATGAAGTCACAATCCTGTCTATGAGGTATCAACACATTATATGAAGTAAAAATCAAGTCTATGAAATAACAATCTTGTCCGCGGCCTGCGCTCCGGACCTCCCGCCCTCATCGCCATGGTGGGGGCCCAGTGTTGTATCCTGGCTTGCGGTGCGGCCCTCCCATCCTCCCAACAACATGGCGAGGGAAGGGGCAGCATTTGAATAAGGTATTCTGACCTTATCTACCTCTTCGTCATCCAGTTGTGAAACTGACTTCTACTTCACTTTAGGACTTGCAGTTTCTTCATCCTTCCTTGTGTTTGGACACTCTTCCTTATCTCCACTAGTCTACAATATCTTCTTAGTAAGTTTGGCTATCTTGAGGCAACAGACACTACTCAAAGGGTCCTGGCCTCTATATATACTCTCTAGCATTCTATATCAATGAGGAGCCACTAACTTCAGCTTTGGTTGCCCCAGCCAATGAAACGGGGCGCTGAGGAAGCTGGCTTGGGTTTGAATCTCTGGGTTGAGTCTGAGTCGCCGGGAGGCTGCTAGGAAAGTGAAGAGTTGCGGGATCCTCTTTGGGTCCGGATGCCAGGGAGAGAAACTCTAGAGAAAGCAGTTCTCGGGACGCGCTCTTTGATGACCTGTCTTGCTGGACGCGGAATGGTCCCGCCGCCTCACACGTGGAAGACCAGGTGGGCTGGCTTATTAACAAACAGGAAAGCGTTGAATGGAGGGTGAGGGTGAGGGCGGAGGTGGTTAGGATCCCTGGGGAGAACGCTAAAGAAGAGGAAACTGGAGAACCCCTAAGCGCCTGGCTCTGTGTGATCGGAAGCCCACAACCGCTCCGCCGGAAGGGCTGGGATCTCCTGCCTTAAATTCCGAGGAAGTCCAAGTTTTAAAGGGCATCCTGGCCCCTTGCCCAGACTTCGGCAGAGCACTTTCTGCCCAGCACTTGCCAGGGTCAAGTGACCTCCGCACCCCAAATTCAGAGTGTTTGGTTTCAGACACAGATGTGAAAGTGACTGGGCATCCCTGTCAAATGAGGAACCTTGGTTCCCTAATGTATAATCTTTTTTCCCCGTGAGGTTCTGCAGTTAGACGGGCAAAAGTCCATGGAGACCCTGCCTGGAGGCCTGAGCATCAAGATTAGAGCTGCCAGCACTGCCTAACGGATTGCTGAGGATCAAATGAGGTATGGAAGAAAGAGATCAGACTGCTTGGCAAGTTGCAAATGAAAGGGACACGGAGCTCTGAGAATCGGCCCTTCTAACGTCTGTGCTTAGTTTCTGCAAGACTCCTTCAGGCACTCAATTACATAGAGGTCAAAGCTGACCGCCGTTTAGGAGATTGGACCAGACATGAATAATTTTGCTGCATAATCTGTAACTTAGGTTACCTGTTAACAAGCAGGTAGAATGTGTTGGGCATTCTACAGGTTTTAGTTGGTAGTGTTATTCCACCACCTTGAATTTTGGGAGGTATACTAGTAAATGAACTTTGGTGCTAGAGAATATAAGATTCAAAGACTACATAGGGCTTGTTATGTAAGTTTCTGTTATTTTGTAAGAATTGTATTTCAGTACAAAGATTATCTGCCTTTAACTGTAGTGATTAATGTCTTTTCTGTTTTTGAACAAGTACTTAGAAGCATAGGAAATTTTCGTTTTAAAAAAGTGCCCCTTGTCCCACTAAAAATATACCCTGAATCGATGAAGGGACACATAAAATTATTTTTATGCTGTCAACTCTATAAAAACTAGGAGGGAAAAAATAGCCCAGATGTCAGTGCCACCCTTCCCTGCATGTGAAATACATTCCCTGATGCATATAAGTTAGTAGAAGCAGTGGTTCTAACACTAAAGTTATTTCCAAAAAGAGGTTTAAGTTGCCTAGAGACAATAAATGATAGTGTGGAGGATAATTCCTGATCCTAAAAACTATTGAATCTGAATCTAATTCAGGTTTGAGTTCACTCTATCATTCCACATTCAAGACGCTTTGTGCAACGTTTCTGTTTCATTGTTTGAAAGCATTCTGTTCCGATTCCAGTAGAGCATTGTTGTTCAGAACATTGACTTTGGATTTGGATCTGGATCCACATTCTGACTCCTCACTTACTATGTCTTCTTGGCAGAATTACTTACTCTAAAACTAGGTCTCTGTTTTTTGTAAAATGGAGACAATAATAGAATCTACCCTATATATGATTATTTTAAGGATTGAATGAGATAGTGAATGTCAAATGTTTACCATAATGCCTGATATATATACAGTGTTTTCAAATAATAGTCATTGTTGTTTATGATTACTAAATATCACTGTGTAGACTTAATCCAAGAGTTCTCAATTCATGGTATATTTGGAGAGAATAGAAACTGTGATAATCCAACAAGCACAAAGAAAGCATAAACTTTATTTCAAAATGTATTCAAGAGCTCCTGTACTACCCTGAGATTTCTATCAAAAGTAGGCAAATATATATTTTTTAAACTTCTGAAGAAAGTTTCTGAGTATTATGTATTGATATCAGGAAGAATGGCAATTAAATTCTTGAGTTTTAGATTTAGTTAGTCTGTGTTCAAATCCCATGCCTTGTGCTTCCAATAGTGTGACTTTTGCCAATTAACGTAATCTCTCCCTAACTAGTTTTTTTCCTGTGTAAGATTGGAATGTTAATAATATACCTATATCATAGGATTGTTGTGGGGATTAAATGAGAAGCATGTAAATTGCTTAGAATGTCTGTCTGTAGAATAAGAGCTCAATAGAAAGTATTTCATAAATGGAACTTGTTATTAAAGGATAGTTGTGTTTAAGGTAAACTTAATAATTTTTGTTTTGTTTTGTTTTTGAAATTTTGCACTTAAAATTCAAACAGCAAAAAAGAATATAAAGTAGAAAGCAAGCCTGCCTGTCACCCAGACCTTTATATTTCCTCACCATGGGGTAACTGGCATTATCCATTTCTGTGTTCTCTCCCTCAGAGTCCATGCATACACAAATAGTACGTAACTTTTAAACATACAGATGATTGTGTGCCGAGTCCACTATTCTGCACTTGTTTTTTGGCACATGTATCAGTAAAAAACGGCATTCGTTTATTTTTCGTTTATTCAATAAGTATGTATTGAATCCTAAATATTTGACAAGGCCTGTTCTAGGGTCTGGGGTACAAATGAAGACCAAACTCTCACAGTGTTGACATTCTAGAGAGGAAACAATAAGTATGTAATCAAATAAAACATCTATTTTTGCCCTAACGGGTTTGGCTCAGTGGATAGAGTGTTGGCCTGCGGACTGAAGAGTCCCAGGTTCGATTCCAGTCAAGGGCATGTACCTTGGTTGCGGGCACATACCCAGTAGGGAGTGTGCAGGAGGCAGCTGATTGATGTTTCTCTCTCATCAATGTTTCTAACTCTCTATCCCTCTCCCTTCCTCTCTGTAAAAATCAATAAAATATACTTTTAAAAAAACAAACATCTATTTTCCAGTTAGTCTAGATGCTAAGAAAAGAAATAAAGTAGGTAAGAGATTGATGAGGCAAGGGCAGAAATACTATTTTGAATGGAATCTTGAGGGAAAGCTTCTGTAAAGTGCCATTTGAATAGAGAGAGATCTAAACGATGAACTGAGGGATTAAGATTTGCAGATATTTAAAGGTAGAGCCTTCCAGGCAAAGAGAAGAGCAAGTGTGAAGGCAATGAGGACAGGACGATACTGGAATTTTTTTAGGGACACTACGAAGGACAGTCTGACTGAAGCAGAGTAACCAAGGAAGAGAACATTTGAAGAAACGGTCTAAGTAGACAGGTGTAGAATCTACAGGACATGGTAAAGAGTACATTTTATTCTTATGTTGGGGAGTCATTGAAGAATTTAGAGCAGGGGGAATGACATAAGATTCATAAAGTAATCTTACTGCTTTTGAAGAAGGCGTCAGTACATACAGTCAATGAACTAAAATATTATTGTATTTATGTACAATTGGGGGTGAATCTTTTAACTTAATTGGCTTATACTTTACCTAGAGTGAATGGTAGTTAGATAAAGGATTGCCCCTGTTCAATGTAATTTATATTATCTTGCAATTATTGAAGAGAATTAGTTTTTAACACCTTTTCCTTAAATATAGCAGAGAAATGAGCTGTTCCATGTAAGTGAAACTCCCAGAAAATTGAACGTTACCCTTGTCAAGTGACATTTTAAGCTCTCTCCCTGATTAGCATGAAACATGATCTCATTTTCCTGATTTTGTATGAAAAGAAATTTGGAACATTTTTTAAAATTTGTGCCTCGGGGTCCTCATTGTAATTGCCTGTTATTGCCAATCATTATACCCTACTGTAATATGTTCATTCTGTTAGAGAAATATATTGTATGTTTGTCTCTAAATGGGTAAATTGCTTTCTTAGATTCTGTGTCTATTTATTTATGTGTCTAGGTTCAGTACAAGAAGCTAGGGATATAAAAATTAAAAAAAATACACCTTCATTAGCTGTTATATCTTGTCATATGCAATAATTATAAAACTTTAGAGCTAGAAAAAGGACCTTAGATATCATATAGTGCAACCTTATTTTATAGATTGGGAACAAAAAGCCCCTTCATT